CTTAGGTAAAGGAACCAAAACCCTTTAAGCACGCCGGCGACCAACTCATTGGAATCATGGGACAGGTCTGAATGTTCGACTGTCAGCATGTTGTGAGAAGGTGAGCTATTGTACACCCTTGACTGGAGGACTGTGATTCAGAGTGGAACCAGTACGATAGTTTGGGGTGGTTTTAAGCAGTCTGTAGTTTTAAAGGGACAAATATGGTGTCCTTCCCAACTCCAAAATGCTCAATTTCTCCAGACTCCACTCCTTCCCTTCATCCAGCAACTCTCCCAGATACTTCCCAGGATGTCTTGACCAATCGCACCACCTCTTCATGCTGCGCTCGGCCGGCGCCATCGTCGTTGCCTCGCCCACGGCGTCCGTCGGCGCCGTGGTCTTCGCGGTCGGCACCTCCGCCGACGCGGTCGGCGCCGCGCGGCGCAGCGCCCGCGGCGGGCGCTCCGTGCGCTGCATGGCGTCCAGCTGCCGCGCCAGCTCCGCCGTGGCGGGGTCCGCGCCATGCGGCGCGTGCGGCGTGTTCGCCGCGAGTGCGAGGGGCGGCGGCGTGTGGCGCGTGAAGGGGGTGAGGAGGGTCAGCTCGGCGCGGCGCTCGGAGGACAAGAGCTTCACCTGCAGCAGCATCGCCACGAGCCCGAAGAAGCCCACGGCCAGCGTCACCCAGTGCAGGAGGCCGAAGGCAAAGTGCGTCTCTTCCTCCGTCTCATGGGACACCACCGATGGCTTGAGCCGAAGCCCACGGCTTCGCCGCGTGCGGGGAGCGTGGGCGTTGCGCGCCGCGCGCATGGGGCCAACATCTTTGGGCCCCCACGGCTGCGGCACGATGGAGGCACCCGGTGGTGCCCAGGCGTTTCGAGTTAGACTTGGAAGACTTGGAAAGCTATTTATGGAAGAAACTCTTGGCAAAAGTGGTGATGGATGCTTCTGACATCTTATGACCACTTCAGTCCACTTCAGGTGGTCTCCAAAACACCCAAAGCCTGATGCGTCATGATACTTCTGGCCGTCACCAAGAACACCACCCCTTAAGTCGAGTGATTCCATCGTCCTCTGTGGTATGTGAAGGTGAGAAGGTGTGGTCCTTCTAAGGCACCGGACTGGACGTGGTGTTTCAGCTCCCAAGGAACCTCTGTTTTAGCTTCCCAAGGCACCGCCATGACCCCTCCGGCAATGCTGGCGAAGCCGGCGGTCATCACCTGCAGCTTCTTCGTGGGGGGGGGGGGGGCGTGGTCCGGCTGGGAGAATGGGTGTGGAGGGTGGGAGGGAAGCACTTCAAGTACTCAGTGTTCAAAATGTGTTGAAAGGAAATGCTCTGAAAAGGAACTGCACTGCAAGAGAAGGTGGCGTGACAATCGCTGGAAGGCATTGCTATCTGAAAAAATGGTGTGTTCTTGGTACGTACGAGTAGTACGTCGCGTATCGATGCAGTTTCCTATAAGAATCGGTCCACATGTGCAGCAGGCTTTGAAGTTGGAATCTCCTGCAGGATATTCCTCAGCAGGTGGAGAGAAAACAAAATACAGCACCTCTCATGCATCCCAAGACATGTCTTTAGACTCTTGAAGATTTGAAGACTCAGAGGCCATCTTGGCTGTTCAATAGCTCCCTGTTCTGGACCTCATTCTCACAACCCAACCACCTGTCCAGTCCTTCTCCCACCGCCCACCGCATGGATCTCTGACAAGGTCAAGTGCTGCAGGAAGGGCTTCGCCAACAGCGGAGCCTGAAAACGCCAGGTCAGTCACCAGTGAAAGCTGGTCAGCATGATTTGTAAGGGTCCCTGACAGCACCTTTGCACCGGGTCGTGGATCGACCGACCCCCCTAAAGTCCGATGTGAGTTCACAGCGCCTCCGTCTGCCCTAGGAAGATGTTGGCCGCTGACATCAGCGACTCGCCTAGGCTGATCCCCAAGGTGGAAACAAGGAGCAGCCCAGTGACAGACGTGCAGGACAAGAGGTCCAGTGGTTTTTTTCGGTCAAAGACGATTGAACTGCCCCCATGTTTGCTTGAAGGAAAAAGTCCAGTTTCAGAGAGCTTGTTGTGGGTGAAATCTCTCGTTCTGCATGGACTGTTTGGGAAGTGAAAAGTATCTCCCTCAAGTCGACGTTCGTACCTCGGACAATGGGGCCCTGACTGGGGGTCCTGGTGTTTTTGCATGAAACCGTGTGGAGAGATCCAATGTGCATCGCTTGAGTGGCAGCTGGGAGAGTTGCAGGCAAGATCAGCTTATAGAAAGCCATGAACCATGGCGAATGATGAAAGGAGTAAGGGAGCAAGGGAGGCCAAAGGCATCTAAAGGCTATAAATTACGACTGACTATAAATCAATCAACCATGTTCTTCCCGTCACTCTTCAAAAACCTTCCCAATCGCTGTTCCATCCATGGGTGAATTCACATCTCTCCAAAGCAGTACCGTACCCCAACACCATCCCAACTCCTCACATGCCTCCCAGAAAACACCAACGACGGGGGCCGACCCGTTGAGGGGGTCCGACGATGGTGTGTTGGTATGTGTTGTTTTCGCTCTTTCCAAGGCGACCAGTTGCAATAGGAGGTTCCCATGACCAGTTGCATCAGCCAACCGATCCTGCACGCCGATCGACTTGGACGTCGACGGCCCACTCGCCAGCGTCCCAGCGCGTCCAGCCCGCGTCCAGCTATAGCGTTTCGGGATTGGTCTGAAAAAGACTGTAGCTATAGGCGATGAATTGGCCTATATGGCCTACTGGCACACCCAAATCCCACGTGAGGAACCACCACGGCGGATCTCCTCAAAAAGACGGCTTGGATCAGCCCCAAGTGGTAGGCGGCTGCCACCATGCTACTGAAGAAGATCACTACCTCAAGTCCAGACCCAGGATCCAGGCTCCGATGGTGGGAGCTACTTCGTGCCGGTGTGAGACCGGACCCCAACCTGGGGAGGTTTTTGGAGGTTTTGGGAGTTGCCACTTGACGGACGGACCCCAAGAAAAGACACTTTTGGAGGTTTTGGGGTCTCCAGGCCTGGCAGTGCATGACGTGCTGAACACCCCAAGGTGTAAGGTCTAGGTAAGTGTGTTCGTCACACCGGCACCCTCCAAGGCGGTGGCTGAAATGACTTGAAGATGGCTGGTGACCAGTGAAGTCGGGTGCCGGTAGAGAGATGGTTGCATGACGATCCCCTCCCAAAACATGCACCTTTCACCTCTGGTGAACAGACTCCCAGCCAGCGCACGTCGGCGACACCCCCGCGAGCGCGCGGGCGCCCGGACAGGGGAGGACGCCGTCGCCATCGCTGTCGCGTGGTTTCTCGGCGCTGAGGAGCTGGAAGCACTTTGAAGGCGAAGAAATCTTTATATCCGTCTCCAAAGACCTCGGCATCGGTGTCCGGTGTAGGCCGACCCAACAGCCGCCGACCCAACACGTGTAGACCTGTCAGGAAGATTTCTTGCTCCAAAGACCTGCGGACGAAGACCTGCAATGTTTTGTCTCCACAGCGGTGGAAGAGGCTGGGAGAGGGTCGGAAGTATGTCTGGTGAACGGCTGGAAGACCAGGGCAGCTGAGGGGGTGCTGCTGGAAGACCAGTGGTGAGAAATGATGGAAGTGGATGGTCGGTAAGGCCCCTGGATGACCATGAAATCCGAATTCCAAACAGGTTTTCACTCCACTTCCATGATTCTTTCATGTGATGCAGCCTGTTTGTATCATGTGATGCAGTTGCATCCTTCAGCCTCTGGCTCTGTGCTGCACTCATTTCACCGGCCCTTTCGGCAAGCCCTGCCCGGCCCGTTCGTCCGGTCTCGCCAGGTCAAACCGGACTTCTTGGGCCCCATCACCCCATGTCGGGCCCATGAGCTGTGGTGTGGTGTGAAGCTTGTATGGATCAACTCCAACTCCACTCTGACCCGTCACATCCGTTCCGGACCGTTTGGGAATCCGATTCGACGTGTCCGAGTTGGCTGGGTGGGTTCGAAGCACCAAAGCACACCAAACCACGGGTACTTCTACCGATGTCTGGAATCCACCAGCAAAACATCAGTTGCACAGGCAGCTAAACATCAGGCCACATCTGCCAGTTCGGCATGCGGGTTTGAGAACTAGAACACGTGGTAAAACGGGATCAACGAGGCTTTTTTTCTCTGCACATCCAAGACTACTGAGCAAACAGACTTCCCCCCCCTTTGGCCTTGGAGACTGTTGATCATCCAGGCCAGGGCACAAATTCACTGCCCTTATCGGCAAACGCCAGAAAATTGGACACCATGTCGCCCGTCTGCTTGAAGGCTGTGAAGCCCGCAGTCGTGCGCATAATCAAAAGACCTGTCGCGCGCCGGTGCGCGGCGCTGGTCTTTCGGGTTTGGTGCGGCTGCGACAGTGCAGTTGGAAGCTGGAGATCGCAAGACAGCAGTTGGAAGACCCTAAAAAGATCACGAGAGTGGGAGATGAAACCTCAACTGAAGCTGCCCTGATCGAAGATACATGTGTTCTCCACATCCAAAGACTTCCTCTCAAGATCGCGATGGGGTGGGTCTCATCATGCACCCACCTTCGTTAAGGTGCTCTGAGGTGTTTGAAGGTGACGATGTGAATGATACATCGCCGCCTGATAGCAAGCTTACCTGTCAAAAAAATACATATAAGGGTCAGTATTCCTTTATAAGAGTTGACCGCAACTGCATCACTTAACCTATCAACCCTAGCCCAGCAAACCCTCCCGAATGAACCGACCGAATGACGTCCGTATTCTCCCACGCCCCAAACTCCCACCCTTCACAGTGTACTTCAGATTGAGTCCGACCCCAGCCCCAGTAGAACCCTCCTCCCAAAGAAAAACACCTCAGAATTCCCGCAGAAATCCCAGGCACCAATGAGAATCTGCAGCAAAATACCGGTGATCACCGGGCGCCAGGTCACTTGGCCCCTGGGGTCGGGTCAAGGTCAGACCGGGGTGGACGGACCGAGGGCCGAGGGCCTAAGCGGCCGAACGTCAAGAAGGGCTGAAACCACTTACCCTATAGAAGTCCAAAGGCTATAAAAAGAATGGGTCTTTTAGATGACCAAGAAATACCCTAACATACTTCCTGTCGGTCAAAAAAAAGACTCGACCTGGATGTCTTTGGACTTCTAGGGCTTTCATAACGAACCACAATGCATTACTTACGGGTTAAGCTGCCAAACGAGAACGTGGGGGTCGGGTTGCTACGGGTCAGTGCAGGCTGGTGATTTGAAGGTTGTGTGGAGAGAATACAAAGCTGGTGCGGATCCTCGCACAAATCTTGCTCTCTTGCTCTTTCATAGGCCCCTGTGCAAATTTCACGTGGAACCCACCACGTGCGCTGCCGTTGCTCTTCAATTCGGTCAAGTCCTCACCAGCTCGGTCGAGTCCTCACCAGCAGTTCCATTCTTCGGGGCCGTGGATGTGGGGGCAATGAGAGGGGCCTCCAAGTCTGTAAAACAGCTACTCGGACAGTCAATGAGATTATAACCAGCTAAGTTATATTATATAAATCTGGTTGTTTGAAAGAGAAGATCAAATCACCAATGCCTCGAAACCTTTCATGGTGACGGTGACGGGATGACGAAACCACACCTCGCGCCTCGGCACCGGGTCGCCCCACTCCCATGCACCGCTTCTTCCAGCCGAGGCACCGGTGCGCAGAGCAAAGCCAGGTGAGAAGCACCAGCAGTAGCAGCCCGCAGCCCGGCACCAGGCGCTCCGGCTTCTCCTGGAGGAAGCCCCACTTCGGGGGCCTTTCGGGAGGCATGGGGCCGGTGGCAAAATCGTTGAGAACCGTGTGGGTTCTAAGAGGTGCGGCGTTCTGTTTTTCACTGGATGATTGGAGACTTGGAAAGCCAAGAGATCGAGTCACGTGGTCTCAAAATGAAGTTGCTGTGTACCAAAACCGTTGAGTTTCAATTAGAACCACTCCTACTTCGTCCTGGTGGCTGTTTAGCATTCTAACGGGGCGGTGTGGGTCCATTCCAAGCATCGAACATCCCGCTAGGTTGATGCCTCTAGCACAACCCCTCAATGACTGGTCGTTAACTGATATGTTCTTCAAATTCAACTTACCTTCGGTGGTCTCCAGGGTTTCCCCAGTTCGATCGGCGGTTTGATCAGCGGTGCTATCTGGATCAACAGAACAACCCAACCGCAGGAATGCGGTCGCCGTTGGAATGCGGTCCCGTGCGCGCCCCGGTCCCAGGCAAGAGTACCCCAGAGCGCCAGCATGGCAAGGATCAGCACACCTGGATGCAAAAGGACCAGGCGCAGAGTGAAAGCGATGGGCAATGGGAGGCGTTTCGTGAGTTTGGAACCCAAACCGCAAGGCCCCAAACCCAGGGGAACAGCATGGAACAGCTGCTGAAACAGCCCAAACACCACGCTTTGCGTGTGAATCTTGTGTCATTCTCTCGTGTAAAAAACGAACCCCTGGTGTTGGAAAAGAAACAGCTGGAAGCTGGTCCCATCTCCCTCCCCCT